AAAAGACCCCACCTGTTTAAAAAAATCCCCTAAAATCCAGTCATTCCCCCCCCCCCCTTTTTTTTTTCCTGTGGCAACCACTACTACAACCCCTCGTATAGCTCCTGATAGCGAGCTAAACCCAACTCCCCTTTCTCCCCCTCGCCCCTGCAGTACAAAGTTTCAAAGCAAAGAGAAAAAGAGTAAACAGTTGAAGAAATGTTGCTGGGAGGCTGGTATGTGGGGCTATATGTCATTAGGGTTTATTTTTTTACCACCACGTGAAGTGCTGAGCAGATCTTGAGAGTGACTTTCACGACTCTAACCAGGCGGGCTGTCTTACACGTTAACGCGCCTTCTCCACATCAGTCTGCAATGACTGAAACCTCTTCTCGGGACAGGCACAAACGTCATTAAAAAGGAACGCTGTGGTGCCCTGGCGTTATGGCCCATACTTGTTATGAAGATACTTTGTACTGGTCACTGTATTCAGCCATTTGTTCTATGGAGAATGAATTTTTTCAATTCATTGGTAGTCACTGAGCTGCTTTTAACCTTGAGGAAAATGTTGTGTGTAGACTTTATGCAGGCCATCTTAGGGTAGAAATAATTTGGCTTGGCAGATGCATCTGGAGGATAATGCACAAGATGCCATTAGCAAGTGATTGCTTTAAATTACAAGTAGAAGGAAAACATTAATCCACCGCTTTCAATCTCATGGCTTCTTAATTTCTCCCGCTGAGCTTACAATAAGCTTCTGTCAAAATGGGAAATAGTCTGCCCCAGATACTGTTAGTGATCACCGCGATATCTTTAATTTAAAACTGGCAATATCGCAAGGGGGCGATTACTGTGAAATAGCCAATATTTGTTGATGCTTACAGTGCCTTTCGGACTGGTTTTCAGTTCCTGGCATGTTTGGGAAAGCTTATTGTGCAAGGTATGGCGTTTGCATCCCTGTTGCTAATCTTGTTATGGGTCATACTGACAGTTTACTGTTTGGGGCTGTCCTTTTTGTTTGCTTTTTCTGGAGTTCTTATGAAATATATGTCTCTGTAGTGCTTGTCTCTGCTGCCCATGGGAAATGCCTTCCTGCAAAGTTAAGATTAATCAGTTTCTGTGTTTTGTTTTTTTTTTTTCTACGTTAATTTACAGCAATATGGCAAAGTAAACTGGTTTGTATACCAGCAGGAGTTAAAAAACCTGCAATTTGTGGATTACATGGAATCTGCAGGTTATTTCAAAGGGTTTAATGAAATTTCTGACAGAGTAAGCCAGTGACCCATAGGCTTAAATCTGGTAATCAGGAATCTCTACCTCCACTGTCAAGTTATTTAAAAAATGCTGAAAGCCACAGGGACGTACATTAAGAATGCGTAGCTGTCAAAACTAGAGACTACTTGGGGCAAAGGAGAAAGAAAAATGGGTTGTCTAGGGCAGTACTGAAGTGTAAGTAGAACCAGGGACTACAAAAAGCCTTCTGCCAGATGGTGCCCTCATCTGAACGAGCAACTGAAGAAATGTAGTATGTCAAGTTAGAAATCCTAAAACATACCTTTCTTGAGTTTGAAGAGTTGATTGTGGGGGGGGGCAGGGAAAATCCCGTGGTTTTCTTTTCTTTTTCCTGACTTCAGAATGATGAATCTGAAGAGAAATGTGCAGGCAGTAACTGCATTGCTAACCTCTGGTGGGTGAATACAGATTGTAAGCAGAACAGGAGGAGCACAGCAAACCTGGCTGCAGACGGCTGTGCCACCACTGGCTGATCCCCAGCTGCGGCAAAGCTCCCCCTCGGCTCAGCTGGCTGAGCTGCTTGACGTGCCTCCTCCCTAGGCCACTGCACCCAGCGAGCTTGGCTGGCCTGGGCTGGAGACCTTTGCTCATCTGGTTTGCTTTGACTGATACAACCAGGGGGAGCTTCTGCAAGTGGCTGAGTCAGTAGATGCAAATGAGAGGTTTTGCTATAAATCTTGATTGCACCCAGCACGACCAAATACTTTATTAGTATTCCATTGACCACCTGAAGAGTTTATTATGCATCCCACTTTTTGGTTTTGGGGGGGGAGAGCTTAAACCATTGCTAGTTAGAAGCAAATGAATATGGAGGAGGTGGTGTCAGTAGTCACGCAGCGCCTGTTTCCATTGCCTCTTGGATGGGGTCACGTAAAAAGCGGGCTTCCATCCCACCTGACACTCACCAATGTGCCCACATTGACTGTTTCCGTTGTTTCCAGGGGAAACAGCAAGTCATGTGAGTGAGCCTTGCTCTCACCATTGCCTGCGTACTGCTAAACAGCAAAGGGGTTCACTTTTGCCTGAGAAGCAAGCAGAGTGGGTCACTAGAGCTTCTTTTTTTTTTTTTTTCATGAAAGAGAAAGAACATACTTCATTTGCGAGATCATATCTTAAGGTCTTTGGTGTTTATATGTCATTCATAGCCTTGCAATTTATCCTCAGTTAATATAACAACAAAGTTAATAAAATAACCTTTGTTTTGATTCTCTGAATGATTCACATCCCCCTTTGTGGCTGTTTTGTTCAAAAATAAAGCGGGGGGAAGAGAGTATATTCGAAGTACAAAGGGAGAAGATAAAAGCATCAGTCTGTTTCTGTACCTCCTACGTAATATTGCCATAGTAACGCGGAGCTGAATGCGGCTGTTCAGCACTGGATGCCGAGGTAAAGCAGACACTCTTCTTATTCAAAGGAATATTAGTAAAACAGATTTTTAAGGTGTCGGTAAGGAATTAGGAAAAAATTATTTTCCTTACGTAGCCCACTCTGTAAGCTAATAATAAAGTGCCACTTTGAAAGAAGAGAGGGCAATTAAGGCATTTAGCAAACATTTATAATGCTGTAAATCAGAGCGTTTTATCTTCCACACAAAGCCGTGCTGAGTTGTGAAGTGCAGTCACAGATAATATATTCTGACATTAAATTTACATGAGATGAACAGCTCTCTCTTTTCTTCTGCCTAATATATTTCTGGCATGACGGTTGGCTGTGACTATTGGCAAATATTTGTACCACAGCATTGCCTGGCTGTGCTCTAATCCGGATTAAAGTACAAGTGGGTAAAGTATTTTGTGTATTTAGGACTGCATGATGTCTCCTAGATCCTGGTACTGTTTTTTAACCACTAAACTACCTCCAGAGGGGATGAAATTCTATTCCAGGCGTGTGCATCAGGTAAAAATATATATCTTTGAAATGTCAGTGAAAAAAGAAATAGTTCGATTACTCTCAAGAGTAAAATTTGAGAAGGATAAAAAAGTGCACCCATTTCAGTGCACTATTAGTAGTGTAATTTGCTATAACTACTGTAACTTTTCTGTGCTTTGCAGCAAGAATTTGACATTTAACTTGTTGCATTTCTGCGTCCAATAAC